TTATAGACTAGTCAAACACAATGGTGCACTGATAGATACCTACATTGACAGTCCAGTTAAGGTTAGTCATCATATAATTAGTAAAAAATGAAATTGATGGATTCATGTTTTTTTCATGTTACCATTGCACAAGCTCCCAATAAATGTATTGGTAACATTACAGTGAAATGTGTTATATCTAAATAAAGAACACTTTATTGATTGAGGATTTCCTGGATTGAAATATATGTATATTTACTATGCTTTCCTTATATTATCATGATGATTATTGGTATGATTAGATTTTAGTATGTAATAGGAATATTAATTTTGAAAGGCTGAGATAATAGTATACAGTCTATTATATATTTTTTGTAAGTCATCATATAATTCCTTGTTTCTTTTCTTTTGTCACTGCATATTCTTCATTAGACAACTATTCTATAGTCATAATCAACTCAATAACATGTCTCTCAGTTTGAGTTGAATATCATGGAGCTTTATGTTGTCTTTATTTTTGTTGTCAGACCAGAAATAAATAAAGGAAGATGATAAAAAAAAGTGTAAGAATATGAATTTTAAATGTTCTATAGGTGCTGGCTCAGTGTATGAAGCCATGTTCTTTCATTTGTGTATCATAAGATAAAATACGCAAACAACTTTTGACAGACCCCGGGATCAAATGGAGAAACCAATGAGACTCCAGCCAACAGCTACACGAGTGTCAAGACCCTCATGGAGAATCCTTGTGGTCACAGAATTGACTATATCTTCTACCAGTCTTCCCAAGCGTACAAGGTAAGATTTGCAGAGGAAACTACACTGCACTGCAATTTTCGTATTTCTGTACCTTCTTTGGTATCTATTGAGAGAGAGAGAGAGAGAGAGAGAGAGAGAGAGAGAGAGAGAGAGAGAGAGAGAGAGAGAGAGAGAGAGAGAGAGAGAGAGAGAGAGAGAGAGAGAGAAAATCATAAGTCCATAAATACAGGAACATGCACACATGGGAGTATGCACACTGTGAGAGTCTGCACATGTAAGCACATACTCTTGGGATTTGGTACATACATGAACAGAAGTCCCTGACAATCTTTGCATGGCTTGCAGTTCTACACATTACCCATCACTGGTGCTGTTTTTATTGTGTCCAGAATAAAAGATATGGGGAATGGGAGGGATAGGAGAGGGGTGTCGGAGGGGAGTGGGGGGGAGAGGAAAGAGGAGGAAATAGTAGGGGGAGAACCTGGAGGTGATGGTTAGGTGGTAAATGTTAGTTATTTTATTGCTGATGTTAGCTTCATTGTTATCATCATCATCATGATCATGATCATGATCATCATCATCATCATCATCATCATCATCATCATCATCATCATCATCATCATCATCATCATCATCATCATCATCATCATCATCATCATCATCATCATCATCATCATCATCATCATCATCATTATTATCATTATCATTATCATTATCATCATTATCATTATCATTATCATTATCATTATCATTATCATTATCATTATCATTATCATTATTATTATTATTATTATTATTATTATTATTATTATTATTATTATTATTATTATTACCATTAACTGCCCATCATTTTTTTTCTCTCTCTCCTCTCCTCTCTCCTCTCTCCTCTCTCCTCTCTCCTCTCTCTCCTCTCTCTCCTCTCTCTCCTCTCTCTCCTCTCCTCTCCTCTCCTCTCCTCTCCTCTCCTCTCCTCTCCTCTCCTCTCCTCTCCTCTCCTCTCCTCTCCTCTCCTCTCCTCTCCTCTCCTCTCCTCTCCTCTCCTCTCCTCTCCTCTCCTCTCCTCTCCTCTCCTCTCCTCTCCTCTCCTCTCCTCTCCTCTCCTCTCCTCTCCTCTCCTCTCCTGTAATTCATGGGTGTGGGCTCTCTGTAATTACTTACTTGTTGTCTTCCCAAAGAGAATATTTTATTTGTATTACATAGGCCTTGATGATATGAATTATACTCATTTTCAAATCAATATTTACTTTTATTCTAATTTTTAAAAGTCAGCAACATAAACAGTTGATGTTTCCTTAACCCACTGGATTCTGGTGTCAGTGAATAGACTGGGTAGTTGTTAAGGAAAGGGCTCTTACATTATTTTTCGTAGTAAATGAGGGGATTATGTACCATATGTATGATATATACACATCTTTTCCATGCAAGGGGTCCTATTCCTGGCTTGTTACTGGAACTTGAATAAAGCAAACATTAAAAAGAATAACTTATCACATACAAGTGTTTGTGTGGACCAAGCGTATAAGCTGCACACCCGGGAAAGTTGCCACTCAAGTAAGCCTGGATTTTGGTCCATGTACAGACCACGAGGCACCCAGACCTACTGGGTTAATGGTGAAATTATCACTAAAGTTTATTCTTCTTCTAGCAAGTTCTCTTTCAGTGCTTAAAATTGCCAAATCTGTAATTTTCCCTTGTGTCAAGCAAGGAAGTAAATCTTTAACACAGATAGTAGAGGTAGTAAATTTAATGAAGAAAGAGGCCC